GCAGCCAATAGAGATCTCCGGAGGGCGGGGCGCCGCGGCTGTCGTGAGGACGCTCTGACCAATGGGAAAGCGAGCCGGGCCGAGGGGGCGGGGCTCCGGGGCCTTGTCATGCTCGGGTCCGTGTGAAAACGGGGGTTCCGAGTGCAAAGCAAAGTTTTTTTGTAAACCGTCTGCAAAGGCGGGGGGTGGGGGGCGCAGAAGGCGGCCGAAGCCGGGCGGAGCGCAGTCGCCGCAGACACCGTCTCCGGTGAGCGGGCTCCTTCGCGGGGTCCCGCCCCCCCCCCCCCGCCGCTCTCCGATGCGCGGCCGCCCGGACGCTCGCCGCCCGCCGCCCGCGCCCCGCCACCCAGCAGAGCCCGCCGTACACAGAGGCGCCTGAGGAACGCGGCGGTTTCCCGGGGCCCCGGCTGCCCGGATTCCCGGCCTCGGCTCCCCGGGTCTGCGCTCCCGTGCGCCCCGGCTGCCGGGATCTCCACGCTCGGCCCCGACTCTGCGCCCGGGCCCCGCGGGTCCCCTGCGCCCCGGATCTCCGCTCTCGGTCCCGGCTCTGCGCCCCGGATCTCCACGCTCGGCCCCGGACCCCCTGCGCCCCGGACCCCACCCGCCGCCGCCACCATGGGCTGCTGGGGCCGCAACCGCGGCCGGCTGCTGTGCATGCTGCTGCTGACCTTCATGTTCATGGTGCTGGAGGTGGTGGTGAGCCGCGTGACCGCGTCGCTCGCCATGCTGTCCGACTCCTTCCACATGCTGTCGGACGTGCTGGCGCTCGTCGTTGCGCTGGTGGCCGAGCGCTTCGCGCGCCGCACTCACGCCACGCAGAAGAACACGTTCGGCTGGATCCGCGCCGAGGTGATGGGCGCGCTGGTGAACGCCATCTTCCTGACCGGGCTGTGCTTCGCCATCCTGCTGGAGGCCATCGAGCGCTTCCTGGAGCCGCACGAGATGCAGCGGCCGCTGGTGGTGCTGGGCGTGGGCGCGGCGGGGCTGTTGGTGAACGTGCTGGGGCTCTGCCTGTTCCACCACCACAGCGGCGCGGGCCACGGACACGCGCACGGACACGGACACGGACTCCCGGCCAGGGCGGCGCGCGCCAAGGGCGGCCGAGCCGTGGGCGGCGAGGCGGCGGGGGTGGGCGGCCGCGCGCCGGACCAAGAGGAGACCAACACGCTGGTGGCCAACACCAGCAACTCCAATGGGCTCAAGGTGGACACAGCAGGTGAGAGCCGGACCCCGCCGGGCGCCCCCTGGCGGTTGCCAGCGCGCCTGGGTAGTCTCAGACCCTCTGCCCCACGTCTGCGCGCCTGGGTAGTCTCAGACCCTCTGCCCCACCTCTGCGCGCCTGGGCTGGGTAGCCTGAGACCTTCTGCCCCACCTCTGCGCGCCTGGGTAGTCTCAGACCCTCTGCCCCACCTCAGCATGCCTGGGCTGGGTAGCCCAGACCCTCTGCCCCACCTCTGAGCATGCCTGGGCTGGGTAGCCTCAGACCCTCTGCCCCACCTCTGAGCATGCCTGGGCTGGGTAGCCTCAGACCCTCTGCCCCACCTCTGAGCATGCCTGGGCTGGGTAGCCTCAGACCCTCTGCCCCACCTCTGAGCATGCCTGGGCTGGGTAGCCTCAGACCTTCTGCCTCAGCAGGTTGCATAAGGATACACTGAGCTTGGAAGGCAGGGTGGAGGGCCTGGAGGCGGTCACCTCCGCGCGCGCCTGGGCAAGTTAACCTCAAACCCTCTGCCCCTGAGCAGGTTGCCTAAGGGTGTACTGAGCGTGGAAGACCGGGTAGAGGGCTCTTGTAAAGGGCTGCGTGTGTGTGTGTGTGTGTGTGTGTGTGTGTGTGTGTGTAACTGACCCCGGATCCTGACAGCCGCAGGCCCTGGCACCTGTCTGGTGTCCAGGCGCGTTCCATACTTACTCTGGGACGATGTGTGGTGGTGCTGGAGTGACTATCATGTATTCCTGTCGTGTTCTGCATGAAAACTTTTCATCCTAAGCGTAGGTGCTCTCGATGGGGTCCGAGAAGAACCGGCCCAAGTGCGGCGTTAGCATCTTTTTGTCTGGGTATGTCAGGTGCAGAGTAACCTGTCAGTGGAGTCCGAGTCGTGCACAGGAAAAGTTTCCCCTTCTTCCCTCTGCAGGGCAGTGTTAGTCTGTGATGTGGAGGTGGACCTGAAAACTTTGAGGGATGGAGAGATTATTGCGCCGGCTTTGGTGATGGTCTCTGATTGTTGCTTTGTCTACTAAGACACCACCTTTTTATCATCCTGTTTTTTCCAGGATCCTGCTTAGGGACACTGACGGCAGGGAACCTGGGGTCAGGTCAGCTCCGTTAGCAGATTTCTCCACAACTACGATTAACTGCGGATAGCCTTCAGCGTTAGGGTTCCCTGTGTGTGAGCCCAAAGTAGATGGGGGTGTTGATGCTCCAGCCCGGTGGTAGGGGGCAGGAGTGAGGCAGGGAGGAGCAGGATGCAGTGACTGGTTTAGTCCTGGCTGTTAGGACTGGGGCCCAGGATGTCAGTTCATCCTAAAATTGCTCTGAGCACACTTTTACGGGAAAACACCCACCTTCCGTGCTAAAAAGGGTGGTTATATAAATGCTTGAAATGTACTTCATTAAAAAACATCTTATTTCGTTGTAGAGCCAGAAAAATCCAGAAGTGACGATCCAGTGGATGTACAAGTGAATGGGAACCTCATCCAGGAGCCTGACCATCTGGAATCCGAAGATGAGGATAGGGCGGGACAGCTGAACATGCGTGGCGTGTTCCTGCATGTCCTCGGAGATGCCTTGGGTTCAGTGATCGTGGTAGTAAATGCCTTGGTCTTTTACTTCTCTTGGAAAGGTTGTTCTGAAGAGGACTTTTGTGTGAATCCGTGTTTTCCTGATCCCTGCAAAGCCTTTGTAAACAGAATCAACAGCACTCACGCACCAGTCCACGAGGCAGGTCCGTGCTGGGTGCTCTATTTAGACCCAACTCTGTGCATCATAATGGTCTGTATCCTTCTTTACACCACGTACCCATTGCTTAAGGAATCTGCTCTTATTCTTCTGCAAACTGTTCCTAAACAAATCGATATCAGACATTTGATACAGGAGCTCCGAAACGTTGAAGGGGTTGGGGAAGTCCATGAGCTACATGTCTGGCAGCTCGCTGGGAGCAGAATCATTGCCACTGCCCACATAAAATGTGAAGATCCAGCATCATACATGCAGGTGGCCAAGACCATTAAAGATGTTTTTCATAATCACGGAATCCACGCTACCACCATCCAGCCTGAATTTGCCAGTGTGGGCTCTAAATCAGGTGTAGTCCCCTGTGAGCTCGCCTGCAGAACTCAGTGCGCCTTGAAACAGTGTTGTGGGGCACGGCCGCAGGCCCGTTCTGGAAAGGACACAGAAAAGACCCCAACAGGTGGCATTTCTTGTTTAGAGCTCAATGACAATGCAGAGAAGAAGCCCAGGAGGACTAACACCGACAGCAGCCTCCCCACTGTGGTCATAGATATTAAAAACGTGCCAAACAAACAGCCCGAATCATCTTTGTGAGTCTTGAAAAAGATGTGATACCTGACTTTTGCTTTTAAACTGCAAGAGAAAATAGACTCTATTGAAATTCTAAGTTTGCCAAGTAGTGTAATTGACGTCCTTGTCTGGTTGCACAGTTTAATTACATTTTTGTAAGAACGTAATGGGACTGCATACAGAGTTCTCTATTACAGTTTGGGATTATTAGTGCATAGGAGCAGCTATGCTGTGACACGTTTTGAAAGCCAGTTTCAACACTATGTTACATTTTTGTTTAAGTGTATAAACCTTATGTGACATAATGACATTTGATTCCCGGTTTTCCCATGATAAGAATTAGGGGGATAAATAAAATGTTACTGCAGTTTCTCTGCTTTTCTTTGCCCCCCCATTGTTTAGGTTATCTGTTAGAATTATAATTGCTAAACCTTGAAAATCATCAAGTTGGTTTCCGTTGGTGTCTCAGGTATATTTACTTGCCCTTTGAGATCATAGCATAACATAATGGCAGCGTATTTTAAGAATGACTCTTGGCTGTCAGCAGGAAGTAAGATTAGTTTCTAGTCTGTTCTCTACTGCTGAGCATTAATAAACAGTGAGATGCCCACAAAATGAATGACAGTTTACACAGTGGGGCATGTAGGGAGCAGGAACAGCAGGCTTAAGTAGATGATCATACAGTAATAGATTACATCTCGTAAATTATTTTGAGAATTTCAGCTGGTTTTAATCTACCAAAGTTAGTCTAAAACAGGTTCACCAGCACTATTTTCTTGAAAGACTAGTATTAATATTAAAAGTTTTCATAGTGTATAAATATTTTTGAGGATGCTTAGTTTTAGCTTGTTTTTCTTTAGTGCAAGCTAAATTGTGTCTTAACAACGTTCATGGTGACCAGTCACAAATGGGCTTGAACAACTTTTTAAGCACAATCAGCAAAGCCCGTGCTTGGCAAGAGCTGTTGACTGGGAAGGAAAAAAAAAAAAATCAGATGGTTAATGAAATTTGGACATTAAATTTTTAGAACACAAAATGAACAATTAGAAACAAATTAAAATTCTTTTAAGTCTTGGGGTCTTGACATGGCTCAGTCTACCAGTGTGCTTTGTGAGATGTCACAAGATCCGCCCAGGAAGTCCTCGGTGTCTGTTCCATTACAGATCAAATCCAACACGAACATTTGAAGATATTTAAGTTATATTTTTCTTGATAGAGAAGGGTTATGCTTTGTGAAGAAAATGTAGTTTTCTTGTCTTTAAGAAGAGTGAATGTTATTAATATCAGTTACATATAGCTCTATTTTTCTAGGAACAAGGTATTCTGACTACTTCAATAACTTTTATAGCTGACTACTTTTGGGAAAGTTACCTTTTGGGATTTGAAATAATTCCTTGCTTAATAATCTGAAAGTGTTGGACTACGACAGTTACTTTTTGAAGGGACGATCTTTCTCTGTAGCTGGATGTTTTTCCCCTTCTTTAATAAGCCTGTTGCTGGCAATGGGCCTATTTGAAAACAGCTGAATTTTCTGATGAGAAAGTTAATTTTAGGAACATAGTTTGTAAGTTCCTATTTACTATAATGGGCCAAAACCGTAACTTGCCAATTTGTAATACATCTTGATTGTTCAATAAGTCTAATATTGTGTGGTGATTGTGATTCAGTTCCTTAACTGGTAGTTATTTTGAATTTTTCAAAAAGGTTTGGGTTGTTCTTCACATGCTTTTTCTTTTTCCCTAACATGGACTGAGATTGTGGTGGGTGAGAGGGGGCTGCGTTGTGCTGTGTCAAGTGCATTCCTAACCACACCTTACTCAAGGTTGTAATGAGATAACATCTCAGCATTGATACCTGTAGGATAGCAGGTAAAAAGGTAACACACCCTATGGGGTTTTCTTTAGAAGTGCAACGTGCTCAGGCTTATGGCTAAAGGAGCCCCTGAATTCAGTGTTTTAAAGTGGTTCATAAGGCGTGGAACAGCTTGTCTTGCTTTAGTTTTTAGAAGTGCTGTGAGGTGGTGGCCTTTAGGCTTTATGTCACGTCTCATAATTTTTAAGTAGCTTCTGTGTAACGAAGTGGGGACTATAGGCTTGGCTTTTTTTTTCTCAAAGGACTTGGTCATAGCAAAATCCATGGGTGCTGACTCACCTTGGAGTTTTAGAGAATTATTTATTTCTTTACAATGCACTTTCTAACCCAGTTTTAGCTACATTAGCATTATCTTTAAAGAAGAAGAAGAAGAAAAAAAAATGCTTGTTATAGAATTTGAGTGTCTTTTCCAAAGTAGCTTATTTTCTTCCTGAAAGAAGTGGGGCGCTACCTTGACTTCTTAGGGACTAGCCCATTGTTTGCATGTGTGTCATAGCATTGCATCAGTTCTGAGAGTTGTGGCTCTCTGCTGGCTCTTTCCTATTTGAGCAAGATCAGCGTACATTACGGTTAGAAACTTGTCTTCTCTGAAGTTGGGTAAGGAGGGTGTTGCATGCTTCTGAATTAAAAACTAGCAAATTGTGCAAGCCGCCTGCCGCCTTGGAGTGACAGGGTTCATTTTCCACCATCAGCTTTTAGCTCGTACGATTAAATTTTTTTCTGGAGGGTATGGGCTAGAATATGAAAAACAAAATCCTCAAGAATTTTAACTGTATTTATTTTTACACTTTAAAAAGCCAAAATGCTGAATAACTTGATCCTAAGATGTACGATCTGAACAGGAAGGTTTTTTCTATGGAGTGCACTTTGGAAAGTCACCGTAGGAGGCGGTTAACGTGTGTGTCTTCTTAGTGCTCTCTGTTATTTTGAGTTTTTGAAAGTTTTGAGGGAAAGACCCGTGGAACGTAATGTAAAGTGTTTGGTGGGTAAACTGGTATTGAGTATTTTTACTGTTTTATAAGCAGATATCATTTGAATAATAAATGTGATTAACCTGCTGTCTTAAGATATTCATACACAAATATGGAGAGTAATTCTACATTATAAAAATATTTATTTTAATACTGAGTTTCAGTTAAGTGATAAAACAGTGTTAAAAGTCTTGGGAAGGTGGAAGGGTTTTTTGTTTGTTATTGTCTTTGTAATTGAAGCTGTCTTGTGCTTCCCATCTCTGAAATGGGATTCTAACATAACAGCACTGTATTGAAAGAGCTCTGCGTATATCTGTCTATCCACAGACAGATAGATAGATGTGGTGATGCTGTTTTGTTTTACTAACAAGCTCTGGAATATTTAGCAGTCATTTTCACTGGCACAGGAGCCTTTTGTATTTAATGAATTTAAACTTCTAAACCAAAAATTTTATGGTTCAGTATCTGGCAAAAGATGCTGAGGGGAATGTAACATAGAACTAACATGTGGTTATGTATCAAAAGACAAAAATCACCATGACATGGGTCTGCCTTGAAAGAGCACAACAGAGTATATCAGTGGTTCCGTGACCTTGGAGGCCCACGACGTGCCAGTTCTGTGTGCTGTCGCCCATCTTGTGGGCCCAACGCGGCAGTTATCTCATTGAGCTACAGCGCTGCAGCATTTTACCTAACTGTGTGTTTTATGACTGTGTGTTATTTTCCAAAGCTGTTCCTACCTCACAACGAGGCTTTATGGATTGTTATGTATTATAAATGTTCTATATGAGACAAGACTACTGTGTTTCTTCTCATTTATTAAAAGTTAAGTAGAAAAAATAAACTAATATCAATGTCTACTTTGTTTTGTGCGTGTGACCCTCCCCTCTTTAGGCTACGGTGGGTGACTTTCAGAGAAATGGATTTCAGATATTGGAAAAGAAACCACAGTTTAACCCACATGTGGCTAGTGTGCAGATAGGACAGTGGTGTGGAAGTGTGCACGAAGCTGCCGTAGAAACGGAGGAGGTATGCTCACTGCACAGGCCCAGCAGGAACCATGCAGTGGCTGTGAAGGTGCTTCGGTTACAAGCATTAAATTTGTGGATCATATGCTTATGTTTAGATCACTTCTCTTGATAATTTCTATTTAGCTGTAAGCATAGTACCTATGTGATATAAAATTATTAACCCAAAAGGTGGTACCTGGCGTGGCTATGAGTTTACCTCGGGACAGCCACAGATACTCAAAGCTCAAGACCTTGTGTTGGTGGCTGCGAGATAACGGGTGAAAAATAACATCGATCAACAGTAAATGGAAGTGGGCAGTCAAGGGGACTGGCAGGTACAGTAGATGTCTCAAAGAACATAGGCATTTTTAGAAATGGTAGGTTAAAATGGAGCAGGGCTGAGGGGCAGAAGAGTGCGGGCTAGGGTGGGGAATTGGTGTTGAGCCGTGGAAAGGGACCGACAGAAGCTTATGTCCTGTCAGCCAGTTTGAATTTGGCCTTATAAGAAAACAGACTTGTGGATAGACAAGAAAGTAGAGAAGGTACTGTGTGACACATTTAGACAAGACAGGAAGACAAATCCGTTTACCGGTTGATACCAGCCTATACTAGTTCCCTAATATGACTTCTACCTGTGCCACATGGTGATTGCCTTTGCACACATTCTTTCTAAGCACTGTGATCTCACATTGCTGAACTCGGAATGTGCAGCTGTGATCAGTGCTTTGCTTTCTTTCTTTGGTGTTTTTGAGACAGGGTCTCCCTGTAGCCCCAGGAGCTCACAATGTAGACCAGGCTGGCCTGGAGTTCACAATGTAGACCAGGCTGGCCTCGAGTTCACAATGTAGACCAGGCTGGCCTTGAACTCACAGAGATCTGCCTGCCTCTGCCTCCCAGGCGTGCACCACCACGCCCAGCATCAATGCTACCTTAAAGTTACTGGTGGTCAAATTTTCAATATGAGTTTTCAAAAAGTGTTTGCCCACCTTCCCTAAAACAGCTCTATACTGTGCATTACACAGTTGAATAAAAGCTGTTAAGAATTGGATGAAAATGTGGAAGAAAGTCAGGTAATGGTTTTGGGTTTTAGACATGATCTATGTAGACCAGATCTCTACAGAGATCTGCCTGCTGCCTCCCTAGTCCTGGGATTAAATGCAGTATGAGTGTTTTGCTTGGGTGTACAAAAGTGCACCTGTGCATGACATGTCCATGGAGGCCAGAAGAGGGCATTAGATTGAGTCCCCTGGAACTGGAGTTCCACATGGTTGTTAGTTGCCATGTGGGTGCTGGGAACCGAGCCCAGGTCCTACACAAGAGGCCGCTGAACCATCTCTAGCCCCAGGAACAGGTTCTTAAATAAGCAAATGCATGGGGCTGGAGAGATGGTTTGGTGGTTAAGAGTGTGCATCTCTGGAGGACTCTGTTCCCAGCACTCACATGGGATGGTTCACTACCCCTATAACTTAAGCACCAGGGGGAAGCACCAGGGGGAGATCTGACACCTCGTGTCTGTGCACCTGCACTCACATGCACATGCATGCATACATATATACCTGCACAATTAAAAAAACCAAAACCCTGTTTCAGCCCAGTGTGGTGGTACTTGCCTTTAATCTGAGCACTAGGGAGGGAGAAGCAGGCGAATCTCTTGAGAAATTGAGGCCAGCCTGGTCTCCATAGGGAGTTCAGGTCAGTTAGGGCTACAGGAACACCCCCATCTCAAAAAAGCAAGCAAGCAAACAAAAAACCTTGTTTGTTTCTAGATTGTAAACTGTGAGGTTGAGCGGGATGTGGTGGCACACACCTTTAATCCCGGAAGAGGCAGGTGGCTCTCTGGGCTTGAGACCAGCCTGGTCTATATAGTGAGGTCCAAGCCAGCCAGCCAGAGTTGCATGGTGAGACCCTGTCTCAAAAAACAAATCAAAACAAATACTAATAAACTGTGAAGTCAGCACTGTTTCCCCAGCTTTATTTCCTCAGGATGTTGCAAGGAACTAGCAATGCCATAGGTGTTTAAAGGGGTTTGAATGAGTCTTGAGGAACGTCAGGACTGAAAAGGCCACACTGTGAATTGTTAGGGTGCTATAAGCACTTGATACTTATCAGATACATTTTCTTCTAATGCTTGCAAACCATCAGGTGTATTCCATTATTTCTCCTTTACTGATAAATGTCTTAAAACACCTTATCCGAAGTTGTTCCGTAAGTGATGGGGCCAGACTTGAACGCAGGAAGAGATCAGGACAGATCAAGCCTCTTGCTTTTCCATCTCTGGACTTTTCAATAATAACTGCATATATTCAGAATGAAGAGTTCTTCCTGAACATTCAGTGAGCACAGCTAGCACAGCCAGGGCGCCAAGCCAGCCAAGCAAGGGTACCAAAGGAAATAAGGAAAATACTTTTTTAAGTCATTTGATACTTATTTTTCTTTTTTAAAATTTTATTATTTTTGCTGGGCATGGTGGTGCACACCTTTAATCCCAGCACTCGGAAGGCAGACGCAGGCGGATCTCTGTGAGTTCAAGGCCAGCCTGGTCTACATAGTGAGTTCCAGGACAGCTGGGGCTACAGGGAGACCCTGTCTCAAAAAGACCAAAAAAAAATTATTTTTATTTTATATGTATGAATGTATTGCCTGCATGTGTGTAAGTGCACCCAAGTCATGCAGTACCCACAGAGGTCAGAAGACGGCGTCATATCACCTAGAACTGGAGTTACAGACGGTTGTTAGCTGCCGTGTGGGTGCTGGGAATTGAACCTGAGTCCTCTGCAAGAACAGACAGTGCTCTCAACCATTCAGCCATCTCTCCAGCCCCTTGATACTTATTTTTCAATGTCAAAATAGTCATTGGATTAAAAATCAACACTTTCCGACCTAAATTTGATGATCTTAAGTTAGAGTTTAGTATCATTTTAACTTTCTAATTATATGGAGGAGAGATCTTTATTTTAGACTGTAGGTCTTTGGTTTCAATCCAGCCTTGTGGATTAAACTGTTTTCACTTAAACCATTGTTTAGAATTGTTTAGCACAGACAGCTTCTGCTGGAGTGGGTCACTGTGGCTTATGTAGCCTGAGGGTGATGTTGAACCCAGGTCTCAGGAATGAACAGCAGAATAACAGGTGGATGTGGGTGAGGAGACAGAACACTGGCTGCTTTTTGATGAGTGAGCACACAGGCAGACCGTTTCGTGCTGCTGTGCTCCTTCGTGTTGAGTTTACCAGCTGTGGTCTTCCTCACAGATGCCTGTGGCTTCCCCTACTCCCTGCCCACTAACAGGATGCCTCCTGCTGTAAATGTCCCCTAGGGAGGTAGCACTGCACTTTTAGAATCCATGGAAGGCCAGGCCAGTGGGCCCTCTTCTGGTGCGCAGGGACAAAGGCTACCTCTAGACTCATTTCACTCGGTTCCGTCAGGCCTCTTGTGAACTTTGATTTTACTAAGAACCATACTGAATAGCACATTTGAAAGTGTTGGGATTGATTTCTGGGTTTATAGCCCTGACAAAGGATTGCCACAGGTCCAGGTGGCCAAAAGCTCCTCTGATGTGTTCAGAAAATTGATCTGCCTAAGAAAGCAGACGTGGCCATCCGAATGTGTTGTGGAAACCCTGGCTAACTCCTTTGAAGAAGAAAGTGAAAACTGGGTTTCTGGCAATATAAAAGGAGGTCCAAAGCCAGCATCTTTTATTAATATGCAAATTTGAATATTCACATCAATCTACAAGGGCTGACCCTAGTTTCTCTTTCTAATGGCAAAAATGTCAAGGACAACATTAGGCAAAGTTTACTAGAACTTTCTTGGCTTGGAACAAGGGTGACCTTGGGACACCTGTCCTGAGCTCTTGCATCAGGTTTTAGATCCCTCTGGGAGGTGGTGATGCTGAGACAGTTTATTAACGAATCTGTTGGCTCTGCAGCTTCTGTACACCTGCTGTCAGTGAGCTGGGAAAAAGAAATGGCGTCAAGGCAGACGAGTTGTCCGTAAACATGTCCACGTCGGAATCCTAGAACCTGTGGATCCTGTACGTGGCTGGAGGCTCTGCCACTGTCACTGTGGGTTTGGGATGGGGAAAGCCTCTGGAACAATCGGAGTAGATCTAAAGTGGATCCAACGTTATCATAAAACCGCTAATGAGAAGGGGAAGGAGAGCCAGAGTCACAGAGAACAAAGGGTGATTGATGTGTGGTGACAGGCAGAGGCGACACAGAAGATGCCTGAGGGGTCTTGAGCTGAAAGCCACAGACGGCCTCAGCAAGTGGAAAAAGCAAAGAAATGGAGCCACTGGGCAGGCGGGTCAGGGGTGCGCTCTCTTCTGTTTCCTCATTTTGTTCAACTTGGGGCTCCAGAAGGGAGGTAAGTTCTACTCGCACCTCAGTGACCCTTGGGCCCATTTTGACAGTACACTGGTTTGTCCTCCCTAACCCTTTTTCTCTGCGTTTTGAGACAGGGTCTCCCTGTAGCCCCAGCTGTCCTGGAACTCACTATGTAGACCAGGCTGGCCTTGAACTCACAGAGATCGCCTGCCTCTGCCTCCCGAGTGCTGGGATTAAGTGCTGGGATTAAGGGCATGTGCCACCATGCCCAGCTTTTATTTTTTGAGACAAGGTCTCATAGTCCAAGCTAGTCTTGAACTTACACTGTAGCTGAGGATAACCTTGAACTCCTGATCCTCCTTGCCACCATTTCCCGAGTGCTGGAATTACAAGAGCGTGCTATCGCAACCGTGTTATGCATTGTTGGGGATTGGGCCTGCTTCATGAATGCCTGGCAACAGGTTTTAGATCCCTCTGGGAGGTGGTGATGATAATTCACCCAACTAAGCCACATTCCCGGCCCTAACTTTGTT